TCCCGGAAAAAAGGGAAACTTTGGGCGTGTTTCCTTACACATGCTGTCCCTGTTCACCTAGCTAGCATAAATAGGTACCTGGGTGTAAGTCAACTGGTGTGGGTCGCATCCTGGGGAACAAGACTGAAGGATCCCCATTCCCTCCAGGTATACCCGAATGGAAATAAGACAAACGGTCCTCAATGACGAACTGACTTTATTGGGTTATCCTAAGTGGCTAACCCTCTGGGGTTAAAAATCCGAAAATCTTAACTCTTATCTTATCCATCCTAACACAGCAGAAGTTAGCTAAAAAAAATACGCTGGTTTAAGAGAGATTAGGTGAGATTTCTAAGCGAGTTTTAGTTCAAAAATAAAAACCTTTATCATTGTCAATTAAAAAATTATTAACTTCCATTCTGTATATGACTTTTTGCAGAAAGTCAACAGAAGTAAATGAGATACGGGTGTATATAGACATGTATATATAAATGGTATATATTTTATATATATATATATATATATATATATATATATATATATATAATATATATATATAATTTTTTAATATAATATTATTTTTATATATATATATATATATTTTATATACATATATATACTGTATATATATATATATATATATCACACACAAAAAAATGAAATACAATCGCAAACAGACGATCATAAGAGTGTAAAACAAGCCACGTGGCTTGTTCTGCATATACACAAAAATAACCCGCATATGGGAGATTAAACTTACGAAAACGTTTAGGTTCAAAATAACTGGTTCATGTCCAAAGTCGGACCAGTACCTGTATTTCCTAACTTTTCCTACGTTTTATGCTTTTCTGATTCTACACAGTTCATTAAATAAATTTCCGAATGCTGTAACATTGGCTAGGGGTTTGATGGCGCAACCTTGTAATCCGATGACTCTGAGGATCACTGATGCAGGACTCCCCATGTTGAGTGGGCGTCCGCATTAACTGGCATCAATATGGCCACTCTTGGGAAGTTGAGGGTGTCCAGGTTGTCTAAGGAGGTGTGAACCGGCCAGGGGGGAAACCCAGCAGCCAAAAGCACCCGTGTCGAGCAGTAGTGGGATCGCGCTGAACGAAAACTGAATGAAACTATCCAAATATACATATGGCCTACCTTCCTACCTGGAGGGTGTCCGGGGGTCAACGCCCCCGCAGCCCAGTCTTTAACCAGGCCCCCCCAGTGGATCAGGGCCTGAACGACCAGGCGTCCCAGTGGATCAGGGCCTGAACGACCAGGCCTCTCAGTGGATCCCCTCCAGGTAACTCCAGGATCAGGGCCTGAACGACCAGACCTCCCAGTGGATCAGGGCCTGAACGACCAGGCCTCCCAGTGGATCCCCTCCAGGTAACTCCAGGATCAGGGCCTGAACGACCAGACCTCCCAGTGGATCAGGGCCTGAACGACCAGGCCTCTCAGTGGATCCCCTCCAGGTAACTCCAGGATCAGGGCCTGAACGACCAGGCCTCTCAGTGGATCAGGTCCTGAACGACCAGGCCTCCCAGTGGATCAGGGCCTGAACGACCAGACCTCCCAGTGGATCAGGGCCTGAATGACCAGGCCTCCCAGTGGATCAGGGCCTGAACGACCAGACCTCCCAGTGGATCAGGTCCTGAACGACCAGACCTCCCAGTGGATCAGTGCCTGAACGACCAGACCTCCCAGTGGATCAGGGCCTGAACGACCAGGCCTCCAGTGGATCAGGGCCTGAACGACCAGACCTCCCAGTGGATCAGAGCCTGAACGACCAGGCCTCCAGTGGATCAGGGCCTGAACGACCAGACCTCCCAGTGGATCAGGGCCTGAACGACCAGACCTCCCAGTGGATCAGGGCCTGAACGACCAGACCTCCCAGTGGATCAGGGCCTGAACGACCAGACCTCCCAGTGGATCAGGGCCTGAACGACCAGACCTCCCAGTGGATCAGGGCCTGAACGACCAGGCCTCCAGTGGATCAGGGCCTGAACGACCAGGCCTCCAGTGGATCAGGGCCTGAACGACCAGGCCTCCAGTGGATCAGGGCCTGAACGACCAGGCCTCCCAGTGGATCAGGGCCTGAACGACCAGGCCTCCCAGTGGATCAGGGCCTGAACGACCAGGCCTCCCAGTGGATCAGGGCCTGAACGACCAGACCTCCCAGTGGATCAGGGCCTGAACGACCAGGCCTCCCAGTGGATCAGGGCCTGAACGACCAGGCCTCCCAGTGGATCAGGGCCTGAACGACCAGGCCTCCAGTGGATCAGGGCCTGAACGACCAGGCCTCCCAGGGGTATATATATGCAATAAGATCACAGTAAACAGGTGATTTCAGGTGATACACTGGACAAATAATAATTTTTAAATTTTCTTGGGTAGAATAGTTTGTGGGTGAGTTGTGCAAAGGACCTATCCAGTTGGGTCGGCGCGCGTCAGGTGTTTAACCGTTGTGGGATCTGATAGTGAGGTGTTGGCCAGACCCCTTATATAGCTTCTTTGGATGATTTACTTTCATAGTTCCTTGATAATGTGAGTAGTCACGAAAGCGCTTGGAATTTTTCTATTCTTTCAGAGTGGTTGTTTTGCATTATATTATATTTTATATATATATATATATATATATATAATATATATATATATATATTATATATATATATTATATATATTATATAAATTTTTTAAATATTAGCAGTAACTAGTCACATCCTGGAGAAGGTACCTAAATATGAGCCCCACACCTAAACCTACGTTACAAACCCAGCAAAAGAAATGCCTAAATAAAAACTTGTACTATAGTTTCTTACATAATATATTATATTAGTTAAAAGGACACAGTTGCAACTAATGCGACATTTTATTGTGGCAACGTTTCGCTCTCCAGGAGCTTCGTCAAGCGTAATGGCTTGACAAAGCTCCTGGAGAGCGAAATGTTGCCATAATAAAATGTCGCATTAGTTGCAATTGTGTCCTTTTTAGCTAACATGTTGTCGGTAACTCTACCTTACGCAAGGTCATATGGACTACGCTTGCTCTTCATGCTACTCTGCCTTGACAAAAAAAAAACTGAAAGATAAACTGCAAATTACCCAGAACAAAATGGTAAGATTCATCCTGGACCTGGTCCAAGAGAACATGTAGGCCAGGATGAATTACAACAATTGGAAATGATGAATGTTGAAGATAGAGTAAAACAACTGAAGTTAAATCAAGTTTATAAAACTACTCACAATGTCCAGAATATCTGTCAATTTTGTCAAGGCTGGGTACCAGAGCAGTCATAATACTAGAGGGAGAGAGCACTTTGTAGTAACCACAGTCAGTGGCCAGGATTCAAACACCTTATGTTGTACGGCCATATTATTATTATAATCAAGGGGAAGCGCTAAACCCGGAGGATTATACAGCGCCTGGGGGGGATGTGGAAGGCATTCAGGCTTAATTCGGGGAACTGGAGCAGAGATCCAATTCCCTAAATCAAGAGCCCCTCACCAATATCAAGGAACCTTCCTTGAGGGGTACGGCCATAAAGGAATGGATCAGACTGCCTGCACATGTACTCACCTAATTGTGGCCCCGTCATATCATTAGCCAGTTCAAGAAGAGCCAAAAAGTACCTAATGAATGTAGCGACAGAAAGGGAGGAGAATGTTTTTTTTTTTTTAGCAAACACACATGTAAATGTAAATAACTCTTTTTATCTTATTCCTTGTACATATCCTTTATAGTATAATAAGATATTATCTCTTTCATAGTATAATAATAAGGTATTAAAAGGACCCCAATGGAAATAACTCACTGCTATGTATGATAATCTATGTAACTGTATTTGTGTATGCATTATTATAATATATTATGGTTAACACTAATCAAATGCCTTTTGCAAGCCCAGGGTCACAATACCTATAATATTCCCTAACGACATTTGAGTTATCAGGTACTCCATCCGATTAATTAGGAAGGTGTTGGTCGAGTAAGATCTCCCGACGCCTGATCGGTAACTATGGAGAATGTCATTAATTAAGACACTTAACTACTTCAGTTTAATATCTCTATTATGCACCCCACACCCATCTTGTGGGCGGTAGTTAATCACAGAGGTACATAATGAGTCCAGGCAATGAACCATTTACACGTCTACACATGATCAGAGGTATATAGTAGGTCCAGGGACTTAACTACTTGGTAATAGACCGCTTACTCTAGAATTTTGGACATCACACTGAGTATATACTAACAGACCTATAGCTATTGAAATAAGACCTACTTTTTTTTTCCTTAAAAGGGGGTAACTCTGGCCTCCTTGAACCTCTCCGGCACACTACTGGTGGTGGACAAACTTATTATGTCAGCAATGAGAACTTCCAATTTGGAGGAATGTAATCCGTTATCTCAAGGTTGAAGCCAAGAATACCCAGAGACAATACCACTTATAAGATAAGAGTTATTCAGTAAGTATGCAACTGATTTCAGAAAATTAAATTTATATGTATTAGTTCTAGGAGACAAATCAGTGACAATATAGTGTAATTATGAAAACCATGTAGCATTACCTGATAGAATATGTAATTCTCCTGTACCTACTGCTTTGCATATAAAGGGCTTTTGGAATGTACACCCAACCATTATATTCTTCTGTACAACCATGAAATTTGCCAAAATAAATATCTTTATCTTTATTTATCTTTAAAGTAATTTGACAAAGTGTAATTATTCCAGAGCGCTTCACCAGGATTAAGGCAGTATTAAGGCAGCTGTAGCTCACTGACCGCACTGAAGGAAGTTGTTACCAAAGCACACCATTCTACGACTGTTCTTTAATTCTGCACCTGAAACGCATTGCTTTTAAACCTCATTTTATGATGCTCTTCTGATCATACATGGTTCGTTAAATAAATTTCCGAAGGTTGTGCTATCGGCTGGGGTTGGTGGCGCAACCTTGTAATCCGGCGACTCGGAAGCCTAGGCCAGTGGACGGCTTGAGGTGAGGATCACTGGTGCAGGACTCCCCATGTTGAGTGGGCGTCCGCATTAAGCTTGGCATCAATATGGCCACTCTTGGGAAGTCGAGGGTGTCCAGGTTGTCTAAGGAGGTGTGAACCGGGCCAGGGGGGAAACCCAGCAGCCAAAAGCACCCGTGTCGAGCAGTAGTGGGATCGCGCCCGTGAGTGGGCGGCCTGTAGCAGCCTTGCCAATACAGGCGGACTTGGTCTTTTTTTCAGTATTAACGGTAACTAGTCACATTCTGGAAAGCTGGAAAGGGTTGGACCCTTAAACGTGGATCCAACACCTAAACCTATGTTACAAAGCCATTCAAGGAAATGCCTAAATAAAAACTTAATGGGGAGAAAGATTAGGATACATGATAATATACACTTGGAAAATCCTAGAGGGATTAGTACCAAATTTGCACATGAAAATTATTCCCTCCGAAAGCAAAGACTCGACAGGCGGTGCACCAACACCTCAATGAAAAGCAGGAACACCACGAGTTTACCTGGAGAGAGTTCCAGGGGTCAACGCCCCCGCGGCCCGGTCTGTGACCAGGCCTCATGGTGGATCAGGGCCTGATCAACCAGGCTGTTACTGCTGGCTGCATGCAATCCAACGTACGAACCACAGCCCAGCTGATCAGGTACTGACTTTAGGTGCTTGTATAGTGTCTGCCTGAAGACAGCCAGGGGCCTATTGGTAATCCCCCTCATGTTTGCTGGGAAGCAGTTGAACAGTCTTGGTCCCCTGACACTTATTGTGTTGTCTCTTAACGTGCTAGTGACACCCCTGCTTTTCATTGGGGGGATGTTGCATCGTCTGCCGAGTCTTTTGCTTTCGTAGGGAGTAACTTTCGTGAGCAAGTTTGGTACTAGTTCCTCTAGGATTTTCCAGGTGTATGTAATCATGTATCTCTCCCGCCTGCGTTCCAGGGAGTACAGGTTCAGGAACTTCAAGCGCTCCCAGTAATTGAGGTGTTTTATCTCCGTTATGTGCGCCGTGAAGGTTCTCCGTACATTTTCTAGGTCAGTAATTTCACCTGCCTTGAAAGGTGCTGTTAGTGTGCAGCAATATTCCAGCCTAGATAGAACAAGCGACCTGAAGAGTGTCATCATCGGTTTGACATCCCTAGTTTTGAAGGTTCTCATTATCCATCCTGTCATTATCAAATGGTATACAATATCGACAAGTTGGTAGATAAGACACATAGGCAACATTTAGGCAACTTTATTCCGAAACGTTTCGCCTACACAGTAAGCTTCTTCAGTCGAGTACAGAAAGCAGGCGGGAGCAGTAGAGATGTGTAGACGATGTAATCAGTCCATCACCCTTGAAGTCGTAGATTTGAGGTTGTCAGTCCCTCAGCCTGGAGAAGTTCTGTTCCAAAGTCTGGAACTAACTGAAGATCAAGTGACAGTGTTGAGACTTAAATACTATCGGAAGGAGATGTGCAGAGTAGTAGTAGTGAGAGTGTAGCCACTGAGAGGTCAGGTCCCTCTCAGATCAAACAGTTCTCATTTGAAAAAGTTGTCCAACGTGTTTTCTCTTCTGTACCAAGATGCCATTGTGTTGCAGTGTCTGACAGAGTGATTATCAAATGGTATACAATACCGACAAGTTGATAGACAAGACACGGTGCTGTGGCTGACATCCTTGTCTATGTCAGATATGAGGATGAGGAACAAGATGGGAGAGAGTACTGTGCCTTGTGGAACATAGCTTTTCACCGTAGCCGCCTCAGACTTTATTGACTACTACTATTTGTGTTCTATTTGTCAGGAAATTATAGCGCATTTTGTGCGCTATTACGTCAAGACTGTTCAACTGCCTCCCAGTACAAAGGGGATTATCAATAGATCCCTGGCTGTCTTCAAGAAGGCGCTGGACAGACGACAAATAGTCAGTACCCGACCAGCCGGTCTGTGGTTCATACGTCAGGTTACGTGCGACCAGCAGTAACAGCCTGGTTGATCAGGCCTTGATCCACCACGAAGCCTGGTCACAGGCCGGGCTGCGGGGGCGGTGACCCCGAAACCCTCTCCAGGTACACTCCAAATATCTTGTTGCATCCTAGACACCTGGGATAACTATGACGAACTGAGCGAAACTATCCAAATATACATTATGACCCCTTATGTCTTTTGCATTCCCAATGTACCAGTTGAAATAAATACTAGGTAATTTACTCATAAAGGTACTATGTACGATAATTTCTGTAACTGTATTTGTGTGTACCTGCACCTAAATAAATGTACTTATTCCAACTCCCCCACAAAAAAAAAAAAAAAATGTGACGGGAATAAGTTTATTCAAGTACATGTACACATACAGTTATATAAATTTGACAGGAAATCTTGAGTGAAACTTTCTTGATACGATTCAGGACTACTTTTTAAAGCAGTTTGTGACATAACCAGCTAGAGGAAATTATCTGCCTGACTTAGTTCTTGTTAACAAGGAATCACTAATTAATAATCTTGAGGTTAATGATGAGCTTGGGGAAAGCAATCATAAATCGCCCAGTTTCAGTATTCAATAACTGCAATCAAGTCTCTGTCCCTGACTGAAGCTTGGCTGATTTCACAGGACTGAGAAATTACCTGGGTAGGTTGAACTGGAAGATATGACTGAGTCAGGTAGATGGTGATGATTGCAAAGATGACGTTTTTCAGAACATAGTTCTAGCTGCATTGACAAGAAGTGTAACTCTGACCTTGAACCCCTTCTGGCACGGTGGTGATGGACAAATTTATTACACGCGCAATGGTGACTGGTATTTCAGAGGTATCTTATGTTATCTCAAGGATGAAGCCAAGAATAACCAGAGACAAAGCCACTTAAGATAAGAGTTATTCAGGAAATATGCAACTGATTTTAGAAAAATAAATTTATATATTAGTTCTAGGAGACATATAAATTAATAACAATATAGTTCAACTAAGCTAACCTGACAGTGTAATTTATTCCAGAGCGCCTCACCAGTATTAACCCTTAAACTGTCCAAGCAGATCTATGTTTACATGCGTAGTGCTCCCAAAGTAGATCTAGGTTTTTTTACATATTTTCAAATATAACAAAAAAAAAGTAGATCAAAGTTTTTTTTACACGTTTTCCAATGTAAAAAAAAAAGATCTACTTTTTTTTTACATACTTTCAAATGTTGAAAAAACGTAGATCTACGTTTGGACAGTTTAAGGGTTAAGGCAGCTGGAGGCTCACCGAAGGGAGTTACCAGAGCACACCTTTCTACAACTGTTCTTTAATTTTGCACCTAAAACGCATTGCTTTTCCTCAGTTTATGCGCAACCTTGTAATCCGGCGACTCGGAGGCCTAGACAGTGGACGGCTTGAGGTGAGGATCACTGTGGCAGGACTCCCTTGTTGAGTGGGCATCCGCATTAAGCTTGGCATCAATATGGCTACTCTTGGGAAGTCGAGGGTGTCCAGGGTGTCTAAAGTGTGAACCGGGCCAGGGGGGGAAACCCAGCAGCCAAAAAGCACCCGTGTCGAGCAGTAGTGGGATCGCGCCTGTGAGTGGGCGGCCTGTAGCAGCCTTGCCAATATAGGCAGACTTAGTCTTTTTAAATCGAACTTATTTTTTGTCCAGTACTAATTAACGGTAACTAGGCACATTCTAGAAGGAAAGGGGCTCCTAAATATGGAACCCATACCTAAACCTACGAACTGAACGAAACTATCCAAATATGCATATTATGGCCTACCTCGGTGTCCGAGGGTCAACACCCCCGCAGCCCAGTCCTTGACGAGGCCTTCCAGTGAATCATGACCTGACCAACCAGGATGTTACTGCTGGCCACACGCAAACCGACGTATAAACCACAGCCTTTGATAATGTGAGAAGTCACGAAAGCGCTTGGAATTTCACTATTTTTCACAGTGGTTGTTCTACATATTATATTTTGATGAACTGTTAAATGTTGATGAAGAGAAGGAGGCAGTAGTGATTTCATGCATCGGCCAGGGAGGTTTAACATCTTTTAAGAGTGAAGAACAGTCAGATGCGAGTGTGGGGGAGGTGCGTATATTATGATGTATCTCTCACCTGCACTCCAGTGAGTAACAGGTCAAGTGACTCCAAGTGTTCCCAGCAATTACGGTATTTGACGGAAATTATAAGGGCAGTAAAGGTTCTCTGTACATTCTGTAGATCTGCAATTTCACCTGCCTTGAATGTGGCTGTTAGTATACTGCGGTATTCAAGCCTAGAAAGAACAAATGATTTAAGAAAGGGTCATCAATGGCATCCCTTGTTTTGAAGGTTCTCATTATCCATCTTATTTTCCTCACCTGTCATATTGACACTGTACCAACTGAAATAAAATTTTCCCTCTCCCCCCACAAAAAAAATTATGTGGTAGGGGAGGTATAATACTAGTTCAGTCTAAGGAGATTTAACGCTTCCCCATAATAATAATAATAGTAGTAATTAAACTTGCATGAAAATTTATTTAACAAAAGATTAAAAAAAAAGTTAGGTTAGCTCGTGGTTTGGCTGGTAGTGGACTCACACACGGAGGTGCCATGTTCAATCTCCGGCAAGGGTGAAACGTTGGTCCATGTTTCCTTATAACTGATGTAAGTTTATTCAGGTACAGGTACACATAAATACAGTTGCATAAATTTTCATACATAACAGCATGTGTATACCTGGAGAGTGTTTCGGAGTTCAACGCCCCAGCGGCCCGGTCTGTGACCACCTCCCCCCCCCCCCCCCAAAAAAAAAAAAAAAAAAAAATAAAAGTCAGTGTCTTATTTCCACTGGGGTCCTTGTAACATCTTATTTAAATTTTAAGTTAAAAATGCAAAATAACTCAACTTTGTGAAAAAGCAGTTACAAGAAAATAAAATATACTAGGAATAAGGTAAAATGAGTTATTTACTTTAACAATAAAGACAGGGTCAAATCATAGTAATAAGTTCATGTATGTTACCAATGCAAGAAATTTCCTCCCTTTCTGTAACTTCATTAAGTACCTTTTAGCCGTCTTGTTGAACTGGCTCATGCTGTGACAGCCTCTGTCATGTGCAGGCTGCTCCTTCTTTTTACTGCTGTACAATAAAAGGTGTTTGAAGCCTGATCATCTACTGTGGGTATACCTGGAGGGCATTCCGAGGGTCAACGCCCCCTCGGTCCGGTTCATGAACAGGCTCCGCGGTGGATCAAGATTTGATCAGCCAGGCTGTTACTGCTGGCTGCACGCAGACCGACGTACGAACATCCCAGCTGGTCGGGTACTGACTTTACATGTCTGTCTAGCTCCCTCTTGAAAACAGCCAGGGGTTTATTACGCATGTTGGGAGGCAGCTGAACAGTCTCGGCCCCCTGACACTTATTGTGTCTCTTAGTGTACTCAAGACGCCCCTACTTTTCACTGGGGAGATGTACCGCCTGTCGAGTCTTTTGCTTTCTTAGAGAGTGATTTTGATGCGTCGATTTTTGACTAGTTCCTCTAGGATTTTTCCAAGTGTATATTATCATGTATCTTTCTTGCCTGCATTCCAAAAAAGGTACAGGTCGAGGGACAACTGATGGATATCCAACCACTTGGATACACATCAGTTGCACAACCCAGGGCAGCATGGGTAAATCTAGAGCAGGTCGCTCCTGCCTATCCCAACTACTGGCCCACTAGGACATGGTCATGGATGCTCTGGAGGACAAACAAAATGCAGCTGCAGTATACACAGACTTTGCGAAAGCCTTCGACAAGTGCGATGATGGTGCAATAGCACACAAAATGTGTGATAGAAGTATAAGAGGAAAAGCTGGTAGATGGATCTATAACTTCCAAACAAGCAGAACACCTAGTAATAAGTAGGTACCAGGAAGTTAAATCTGTTTTTGTGGGTCACATTCCTGGGAGCAGATTAAATGAACCCAAGAAAATACAATCCTGTACTAGGGGCCGTAAAGTTGTGCCTCCGTGGCACAATTGGTTAGCGCGTTCGGCTGTTAACCGAAAGGTTGGTGGTTCGAGCCCACCCGGGGGCGATGGTTTTCATGTTAATGTTTATGAAATGTTATGACATCTGTATTTGGCCGTCCTGAGAGATAGTACTCACTTGTGGTTGCATTTTTTTTTTTTTTTTTTTTTACACAATCAGTTTTACAGCCTAAGAATCGTTATGCTACGTCACCTTATTTCAGTCACTTTGACTTTTTTGTATTATCCGAGGTAATTTACACATGTTACTAAGTATGATAATTGTACTTCGTGTATCTGTATGCGTATCGGTAGCTCTGTTGCTAGCACACTCAGATCACACATTGTGGTTTGATCCCCGGTACGGATGCAAACATTCGGGCATTTCCTTAAGACAGCCTGTTGTCCTTGCTCATCTAGCAGTAAATAGGTAACTGGGTGTTAGCTGACTGGTGTGGGTCTCATCCTAGAGACAAAATTAACATAATTTAACCGAAATGTTCTGCATAATAAGGGGCTTTCTTCATAGTATGTCACTGATGTCAGTTTTGTATAAGTTGTATCATGTACCTGTAGAGATAAACATTATTACTGACACCCACGTACCTACTTACTGCTAGATGAGCAGAGATAATAATACAAGGAAACATGCACATTTTCATCCATGACAAGGATCGAACCACAGACACTCAGTATGTGAGGTCAAGGTGCTGCCAGCCAAGCCACTGTATGTACAAAGTAATTATAAGTATAGAGAAATAACAAATAAATTAAAGAAACTTATATCTTCAATACCCTACCGAGGTCTAGTCTTTCTTCCATCTCACAACTTCCATTCCAATCAACCAGGAGCCTTCTACAAAGTATCTAAATAATGGCATTTTCCGAACCAACTCTAAACCACACTTTGGAAATAAGTCACTTTATCTGACTTTTTGGGGTTATCCTAGGTAATTTAGACATGTTACTATGTATGATAATTGTGGAAATTCTTGACATAATTTCCTAAAATGTAGAGCATATATATATATAATATATATATATATATAATATATATATATATATATATATATATATATATATATATGGAGTGAGATTAACAAGTTAAGAAAGCCTAGAGAACAAATGGATTTGTCAGTTAAAAATAGGAGAGGAGAGTTATTAAATGGAGAGTTAGAGGTATTGGGAAGATGGAGGAATATTTTGAGGAATTGTTAAATGTTGATGAAGATAGGGGAAACTGTGATTTCGTGTATAGGGCAAGGAGGAATAACATCTTGTAGGAGTGAGGAAGAGCCAGTTGTGAGTGTGGGGGAAGTTCGAGTAGGCAGTAGGTAAAATGAAAGGGGGTAACCCAGCCGGGATTGTTGGGATAAAGATAGAAATTTTAAAAAGCGGGGGGGGTTAATAGTTTTGGAGGGGTTTGGGTGAAATTTATTTAATAAATGTAGGAAAGAGGGGTAAGGAAACCAAAGTGTTTGGGGCAGAGAGCATCCCATATTTTTCCTTTGTTAAAAGCAAAGGGATAAAAGAAGTGCAAAAATTATAGGGGGAAAAGGGCCCTGTTGAGGTCCTGGTAAAGTGTAGGGAAAGAGTTATAATTGAAAGAATTAAGAGTAAGAGGAAAATTTGGGATAGCAGATAAACCCAAAGGCTTTAAAAAGGGGGGGGGGGTTGTTTTTTGGACCAAAGGTTTTTAAACAGTGAAAAAATATAAGTGAACATTTATTTAGATAACAAAAAGGGGCCCCTTTGGGGGCCCTTTTTAGGGTTTTTTGGGAAAAAAAAGGCA